GTCCTGAGAGGGGACGGAGATAAAGATAAAGCAGTATGTTGCTCGCTCGAAAGAGTCGCTTGTTCACGGGACAATGATTCAGTAAGTCCATTAAGTGGCGACGGTCAGGTGCAAAGCCCGTTTCCCTAGCTCGTATCGTGTTCGGTAACTCGATACAGTTTTAACCCGGTAAAATAGTTAGTTCCCGTGGTTCGAAGTCGGTCTTCATGTCCCTGGTTTGTTAATCCTGTGACAGAGCCGGTCGCCACGAAGAAGCCCAAGTTCTCGAGTGACACGAAGCTGTCCTGGTACGATCGTCTCAGTGGCCAGGATCTCACCCTGTTCTGTCCCGCTCAGGGGTTCCCAGTTCCATCCTATAGGTATCGTAGCTAACGTCATTAATCGCTCGGTGTTGATCAAAGAGGCAACGGTTGCTCACAGCATGCTCTTCTGTTGTCTTTGTATAATTCGTCAGAACCAGTCGGCAGCAAAGCGCCAGCGGTGACGGGCAATTTAAAGGGTGGATGGATGGAGAACAAAGCTCGAACCAGTCTCGTGCTCTTCTGTCCCGCGCAAGGGTACCCTGTGCCTTCATTTAGGTAACTCTTTCTTCCTCAAATTCCTCTTGCCGAGTCGAATTATATACTCAGCGAGTCTCTCAACCCACTGATGGCCAATCTAGTTATGCGTTCGGTAACTTCCGACACTTTAAGCTTCTGGCTTAAGATATTATCCATAAATTAAGACCTGCATTTTATGGACCGAGTCTCTAAAACGATTACTTTTCTTGCTGGAACTTACAAACTTCCGAAGTCTCGAACTTCCAAAGTGTCATAAATTTAACAACCGCAAATCTTCAGATTCGAAACTTCTAATTTTGTAACGACCCAAAAGCTTCAAGTTACTCTGAAGAAATTCTACGAATTTTTAAACATATAAAATTGAACGCGGAAGTTATAATCGAACGGATATTTCAAACACGAACGCTGAAAATGGCCGACAAAATGGCGCACCGACGTGCTTACGGCCGTCAGTGGGTTAATTGAAATCACGTTCGGCCTTTTAAAAGAATGGAAGTCCTTCGCTGCGATTTTTAATCGGCTCGAAGCGGCATTGTTCGTCAATCAGCGAAAACTGAACAGCACTTATTGGTCCAAATTGTTTCCATTATGTTGCCTTGGCCTTCTTTTCGTTGCCCTCATCCAGCCCTTGTCCGGTACCGGGTTCCCTCTTCCGACACTTAAAGTGGAACAATTAATTCCGCCCCGTTCATCTCGTGTGCATTGTTAGAACCGGTCGGCAGCAAAGCACCGGCATTCACGGGGGACGTGAAGGGTGTGTGGCTGGAAAAAGGAGCTGGATTCAGCGCCGTATTGCCGTGTCCTGCGCAAGGATATCCCGTTCCGTCGTTTAGGTAAAATCTCTAATAATCTCTAATCGAGGAAAGATCGACGACGTGTTAACCGCGAGGAGAAAGCAGTCTACTTGCTGGATTCATTTCATCACTTTCTCCGTCTTTCGCTTCTTTAGTCCCATCTAAGCGGGGGTCCCCTGTTCCCTGTAATTGTACGACAGGCATTATGTGTTGCTGACAGCTTCCTTGTTTTACATATAATCAGAGCCAGTCGGGAGCAAAGCGCCAGCGTTGATGGGAATCGTTAAAGGAATTATGATACAGGTCGAGGCAATGTCCAGTATCGTGATATTCTGTCCAGCGCAGGGCTATCCCGTGCCTTCATTTAGGTAATTTCAGAATTATAAACGAATGCGATTAAACGTGGTGATTAACGTTGCTCTTACGCGCCTTCCAATTAATTACACGTGTTGTGACTAAATTCATCGTTTCTCTCTCTCTCTGTCTGGTCGTTCACTCGGTCAAAGGTTCTGTTACTAACATCATAACTGAACAGAAACGCGGATATTTTGTACGCATGCCTGTGTGAAATCCGTAGAGCCGATTGGAACGAAGGCTCCGGCGTTCACGAGCGAATTGAAAGGTGGTTGGCTGAAGAAGAGAGCAATGTCCAGCGCCGTTCTGTCGTGCCCGGCTCAGGGGCATCCTGTGCCCTCCTTTAGGTAAATCGTTTTGCATCACTTTGAAACTTCCTGTTCGTACGACAGAACCGGTCGGGAGTAAAGCGCCAGCGTTGACAGGTGACTTGAAGGGTGGCTGGAAAGACAGGATCTGCGAGTCGACGGTCGTTCTGTTCTGCCCGGCTCAGGGTTATCCTGTGCCCAGTTTTAGGTAAACACTTCCTTAGATTTATTATAAATCTGAAACTTTGTGCGGTTAGAACCGATCGGCAGCAAAGCCCCGGCGTTGATCAATGAAATGAAACACGGTTGGAAGGCGACTAGCACGCGTCACAACGTGGTGATGACGTGCCCTGCTCAGGGATATCCTGTACCCAACTTTAGGTAAATCGTTCAGTTGTCAAACGGTCCGTTTATCTGCTCGATAGAACCGGTCGGTAGCAAAGCACCCTCGATTCTCGGAGAAAAGGGCAGTCTCATGGAAAGACACACCGGTACGCACATCGTGATTCTTTGCCAAGGGCAGGCTTACCCTGTTCCAACGTTCAGGTAAATCGTGAGGAGCGTTCTTGCAACTTAGTTTAGTCGGTTGTTGAATTCGAGGGATTAAGGTCCATTTATACATCAACAGTAGCTTTTTCCTTTCACACATCGTATGGGGGACGTGGTATGTGCCATGAGTTGTACTTTGCCACGTGTCGTATTCATTGTTTATTCTTCCTCACGTTACATAGCACTCTGACGTGTGCTATCACCATGTGTACAGACATATGCCACAATGGTGGCATTCCCACGAGTGATTAGTAACGTTCCAAATGACGAGTGACGCTATAAATGGACCTTCAGAAGTACTCTGAACATTCGAAGCTCAGGTATACCGGTTTGTCTGGTAACGTTTCTTTTTTCTCTGGCGAAGAGCCGGTAGGAAGTAAGGCGCCTTCGGTAGTCGGTGACGCGAAACGATGGCAGAAGACCAAAACTTCGTCGGGATTCACGTTGCAGTGCCAAGCGCAGGGTCATCCGGTACCAGTGTTCAGGTAGTCGAGTCAGTCCGTCTTCCTTATCGATCTCCTTCGCGATTTCATTTTCCAATTGACCGGGCAAATTGCTAAGGAGCGTCTCGTTCCTTTGCCTCTATCGTGTGCACGATTTTGTTACGTTGCCAGAGCCGCTGGGAGCGAAAGGACCGAAATTCTCTAGCGACGATCGCGTCAACTCTTTCGTACGCGCCGCGGGATCCTCGTCGACGTTGCTCTGTCCCGCGCAAGGGTTCCCAGTTCCGTCGTTCAGGTAAATTGACGAATGCTCTACTCTAGTCGGAGACACCGTTTTGTCTCGCGTTTGTTTGACGTAGAGCCCGTGGGATCCAAGGCGCCCAGCTTTCAGAGCGACGCGAAAAGCGTCACCTATGTCAGAGCCGCGAAATCCTCGGTCGCGATCACGTGTGCCGCTCAGGCGTCGCCACCTCCGACTCACAGGTAACGTTTTTCCGATATTCTGTCACGTTTCCTCCGAGAGACCCGCAGAAGGTGGTGGCGCGTTCCGTCATGGTGCAAGTATCGAGCGAATAACGTGTTTTATGAATGTCAGAGCCGGCAGGTCGGGTGTCACCTAAGTTCCCAAAGTCAGCCAAGATCGATTCCTTCGAGGTGGCGAACGGCACCGAGATAAGTCTGCTGTGCGATGCCCAGGCGTTCCCTGCTCCCACGTTTAGGTCAGTGAACCCGTTCATACTCATCGGTTATTTGGCATCTCTATAGAACCTGTGAACGGTGCCAAGCCTAGAGTCGCGTCCACTTCAAAGTACGACGTCCTCGCCAGTTACGTGGACAGTCCGGTAACCATGCTTTGCCCAGCCCAGGGTCACCCTCTTCCAGCTTTTAGGTACATATCTACGACTCTCGATAGCGAGTACGGCAAGATCTATGATACAACGTTGGGGGTACATTCCATTTGTCGTTTCTCTAGAGCCTGTCAGCGGCGCTGCACCCAAAGTACCACCCACCGCTAAAATTACGGTCTTCTCGATATCGGCCGAAACCGCCACTGCTATGTTGTGTCAGGCTCAAGCGCATCCGCTGCCAATCTTCAGGTACGCTTCGACGAGCAAACAGAAAGGTGTCTTCTGACGTGTTCCTCGTTAGGGCGATGGACTACGCCTGGAGCGATTACGCGTTCAATTTCTTCTCTCGCGAAAATCGATTTTCTGCCTGCTGGTGAATCTGTCCACGTTTTGTATTCTAGAACCGGTCGGAAGTAGTCCTCCTCGTACACCGCCTAGGTCGGAATTAGCCGGGTTGACAAAAATCCGGGGCCAAGCTTCGACGTTGTTGTGCGAGGCTCAGGCCAGTCCACCGCCTCTGTACAGGTGAGCAACGTGGGACACCGTGAACCAACCCTTTTCCTCGGCTTCCGTTCAACGGTCTCTTTCGTTCCCGCGTTTTTTACTTTCTCATTGACGCGCTTCTCAACGACGACGGATTCCCTAGCTCCCTCTTGTTTACGGTATTGCAGAACCACGTGGTAGCGTACGACCGAACGTACGGGACAAGGACGTGAATGGACTGAAGAGGGACATCCTAGTCGATCTAATGGTGGGTCTGCCGTGTCCTGTTCAAGGTTTCCCAGCCCCCACGTTCAGGTAGGGGCGCGTAAACTGGGGACTGAATCTCGCTCCAGGCGGTGGCGATCCTGCTCGGGTACCGGCTCATTTTCTAGCCCATTTCTTCTCAATTATTGTGTGTCGTTGGAGATTAGAATCGCGTTGTTCAGTCGAGTTTCTGTCCGCGGTACTGCTCATGCGGCGTTTACATTAGGCAACTTTTGCCAGACAGACTACCTTTATCTTGGATTGAGCTCTTTCCACTAACTTGCAGTGTCTCGCCATATCTTGCATAGGGCAATAAAAATGGAGAAATGGTGGAACATATGAGCAAGACAAAAGTCTTGGAATTATAGAAGTTGCCTAACGTAAACGCCGCTTTCAGAACCGACAGGTAACGTACCGCCACGTATCGCCGGCGAACGTTATGATGGTAGCAAGCTCGTGGATGTTCCGAGGACAATGATGGTGGCTTTGGACTGCTCGGCTCAGGGATTTCCTGTCCCAGTGACAAGGTACTCTCGCGATTAAACGGCCCACGTCTCGAGCCACGATGGTCGCGTTTCAGAGGGCACGAACAAGATAGCTCCGCGCTCGTCGGGCAAGAAATTCGAACGGGAAGTGGTTTTGGCTGCTAGGGGTCAGGATATAGCGTTAAGTCACTCGCTTCAGGGATTTCCCGCACCCCTGACAAGGTAGATCACCCCTTCGTTTCTCCTGTCGCTCCTCAGCGTCCTCGTCGTCGTCGTCGTCGTCGTCGTCGTTGATGAGTCGAATCAATGTTGATGTCAGTTTCGGTCCGTGCGACCTGTTGCCCCGTTGGCGTTGTCAGGTAAGTAGATCGCATGCGATTAAGTGTAATTTACTCAGGATGCTAATTAACCGACCGAGAGCAGGACGAGGTACGTAACATCGTGTTTAACTTACGGCGAGAACAGGATTCTGTATGTGTGTCTACTAATTACTTCTATCGCAATTATCACGTTGACTGCCATGATGGAAATTGTACCTTCTGCAAATTCAGAATTTCTGTTCTTTCGCTTTACGACCTTTTTGACCCGATTTTGTCATTGCACGAAACGTGAATAAGTACAGTTAACAATTATCTTAACCCATTGACTGCCAGACATATTTAGAGCGTCTTGCCCTGGGTGCCAAGGTTTTGAAGAATACATGAAATTTTACAAAATATATTTATATTAAGTTACTGATATAATATTGTAATAGCATTTACAGTAATTTTTATTGAAAAAAAAACACTACGAGATATCTCGTAGCTGGCAGTTTTGATACACACGCTTACTACGAGATATCTCGTAGCTGGCAGTCAATGGGTTAATCTACTACACTTGGAAGATATAACAATAGGGTCAGAAGGGTTCGATTAAATACAGCGAATTCTTTTCTCGCAACGAAGCGTCCGTAACGATTAAAAAACGAAAAGAGAATAAGGAAACGACGGAGTAGAGAAAAGGAATGAAGAGACGAATTTGTCACTCTGGGCAATAAATGATATCCTTGCAGAACCGTCGGGTCGTACTGCCCCAAAAGGGACTGGAGACGGCCTTAATAAGTACCGCGGGGTAGAGGGCGAGTCTCTGGCGCTGGCGTGTGCGGCACAAGGCTTTCCTGCCCCGATCTCTAGGTACACACAATTCCGTATAGCTTCTCAATTCTTTTTTTTGCTTTTCTTTGGTCGTTTGTCTTGCTCCGCAGAGCACGGTTCCTATTTTCGAAGCGTTCCATCCTTACCCTCTACCCCGTGTCGGGTGGCGGTACCGTACAGAATCCGAGATGTCGGACGTTCGACACAGGCAAAGAGAAAGAGAGACGAGAGAAATAATTGAGAACAAAAATTGTCAACCATACAGGGAGGAGGACAAAGGTAGCCTCGAGTAAATAAAGAAAGGCAAGGGAAAAAAGTGAGTGGGCAAAGCATGCGTTCAGCGATGATTCGGAATATCTCGAAGAAAGGTGCATAGATTAGAAAAGAGAAATTTTTATTCGTTTTCTCGTCTCGTTCGCCTTGAACGTGTTTGATATCGATCGAAGCCGAACGTGATCGTGTGGCTTTGTAGAACGACGAACGAGTGAACGCTAGGCAATTAAAAGAGACGGTCGATTAACGAGGAGAGGAGAAAAAGGAAAGTGTGTAAAACGTATCCCGTATCCGGGGCCAATCGGACGTGTTGGTTTTCAGTGCCAACTGGAGCCCCGTGGCGCAACCCCGAGATAGGTGACGGATGCGCGACCTCGAAAAGGATGCGGGCCCTCTTCTCCTTCGGTAACCTCGGTGCTGATCCGGGTGGTCCGAGAGGGTGTCACCCGATCAATGGGGCGAACAATGTTGCCCTGCACCTGCACACCTCCAATAAGTCCCACGATATCTGGCTGGTAAGTCCTCGCCACCTTCGTGCCTCCGTTCATCCGTTCGTGTTTTTCACTGCCCCCCAACACCCTCTCTTTCTCTCACTCGCCAGGTATAGATTCGTGATTCGTGTTGTTCAGTTGCACCATTCTCACGCCTCGTAAACGCTCAAGATACCACCACCTTCGTTCTTCCATCGTCTCGATCCCGATCTTCACCCGGCTAACTTTTATTTCAGCATCACCTTTTCCGACGCGACGTCACCGAGCAATTTTACTTTCGTTTTCGAAACGTCTGCCTTTGTATCCTCTTTTTGTTTCTGTTTCCAATCGTAACGAAGTTGCCGCTGCCAGCCTCCGTCCTTCCGTTTCCTCACCTGCTCTGCTTCACGACCGCTGCTATAAGCTCCAGCTGAGTTCAAGTTCTTTGTTCGATTAAGTTTGCGTACTCGTGTCGCGCGAGACACGCGCTAACGAGCCGGCAGTAGAGACAGAAGCCCGTGCCCAGAGACGCCCAAAGCCCTGCCTATACGTGCCAAGCAAGGAAAATAAAAGCAACGTGGAATGAAGTGAACAGAAACACCGTGTGTCGAACGTTTTTCTCTCCCTTGCGATATCGCGTGTCGTGCGAACGCGTCCCGATCGCGTTTCCCGCCAAAAAAGTGAGTGGGCAAAGCATGCGTTCAGCGATGATTCGGAATATCTCGAAGAAAGGTGCATAGATTAGAAAAGAGAAATTTTTATTCGTTTTCTCGTCTCGTTCGCCTTGAACGTGTTTGATATCGATCGAAGCCGAACGTGATCGTGTGGCTTTGTAGAACGACGAACGAGTGAACGCTAGGCAATTAAAAGAGACGGTCGATTAACGAGGAGAGGAGAAAAAGGAAAGTGTGTAAAACGTATCCCGTATCCGGGGCCAATCGGACGTGTTGGTTTTCAGTGCCAACTGGAGCCCCGTGGCGCAACCCCGAGATAGGTGACGGATGCGCGACCTCGAAAAGGATGCGGGCCCTCTTCTCCTTCGGTAACCTCGGTGCTGATCCGGGTGGTCCGAGAGGGTGTCACCCGATCAATGGGGCGAACAATGTTGCCCTGCACCTGCACACCTCCAATAAGTCCCACGATATCTGGCTGGTAAGTCCTCGCCACCTTCGTGCCTCCGTTCATCCGTTCGTGTTTTTCACTGCCCCCCAACACCCTCTCTTTCTCTCACTCGCCAGGTATAGATTCGTGATTCGTGTTGTTCAGTTGCACCATTCTCACGCCTCGTAAACGCTCAAGATACCACCACCTTCGTTCTTCCATCGTCTCGATCCCGATCTTCACCCGGCTAACTTTTATTTCAGCATCACCTTTTCCGACGCGACGTCACCGAGCAATTTTACTTTCGTTTTCGAAACGTCTGCCTTTGTATCCTCTTTTTGTTTCTGTTTCCAATCGTAACGAAGTTGCCGCTGCCAGCCTCCGTCCTTCCGTTTCCTCACCTGCTCTGCTTCACGACCGCTGCTATAAGCTCCAGCTGAGTTCAAGTTCTTTGTTCGATTAAGTTTGCGTACTCGTGTCGCGCGAGACACGCGCTAACGAGCCGGCAGTAGAGACAGAAGCCCGTGCCCAGAGACGCCCAAAGCCCTGCCTATACGTGCCAAGCAAGGAAAATAAAAGCAACGTGGAATGAAGTGAACAGAAACACCGTGTGTCGAACGTTTTTCTCTCCCTTGCGATATCGCGTGTCGTGCGAACGCGTCCCGATCGCGTTTCCCGCCATCCAGCGTGTTTCACCTTGGAACGAGAAACACACGTTTCTATTGGCTTCATTTCATACATAAGATCGTTTTCATTTCGTACGGTAAATCGATCCGGCAAACCGACGATCCCCTTCGTGTCTATCGTTTCAGATGGTACAAGTTCATCGAAGGTTCATCTCGCCGCCAACCGGTCCAGCTTAACGATCGTGTACGTCAGGTTAGCGGAACGTTGATCATCCGTGAGGCTCGCGTCGAGGATTCCGGCAAATATCTGTGCATCGTCAACAATTCCGTGGGAGGTGAAAGCGTGGAGACCGTTCTGACTGTGACCGCACCGTTGGCCGCGGAAATCGAACCCAGCACCCAGACCATCGACTTCGGCAGACCGGCTACCTTCACCTGCAACGTCAGAGGAAACCCCATCAAGACTATCTCCTGGCTGAAGGATGGCAAACCCCTTGGACTGGAAGAACCCGTGCTTAGAATCGAAAGTGTCAAGAAGGAGGACAAAGGAATGTACCAATGCTTCGTTAGGAATGACCAGGAAAGCGCTCAGGCAACCGCGGAACTCAAACTTGGTGGACGATGTAAGTTCTAATTCTACAGTTTGCAAGTTTAATTGAAAATTAGCAATTACTAGCGATGTCTGTGGGTATCAGAAATAGATTCCAATAACGAGAGTGTACCGTTTTGGGTCAGAACGTATCGGGAATACGATAATTTAATCGGAAACGTTTGTACACCCACAGTCGAACCCCCGCAGATTCGTCAGGCCTTCGCCGAGGAGACTCTTCAGCCCGGACCAAGCATGTTCCTGAAGTGTGTCGCCAGTGGAAACCCGACTCCTGAGATCACCTGGGAACTGGACGGCAAACGGCTATCCAACACCGAGAGGCTTCAAGTAGGGCAGTACGTTACGGTGAACGGCGACGTGGTTTCTCATCTGAACATCTCCAGCATTCACACGAACGACGGTGGACTCTACAAATGCATCGCCGCGTCAAAGGCAAGGGCGATCGCGTCTCGTTTGCGCGACATTCAGGTCGAGGTACAAAGAACGGCGATCGAGGAACGATTTCTTGATTACAGGTTGGATCAGCGGAACACTCGGCTCGTCTGAACGTTTACGGTCTACCCTTCATCCGACACATGGACAAAAAGGCTATCGTCGCTGGTGAGACTCTTCGCGTGACCTGCCCAGTCGCCGGATATCCGATCGAGAGCATCGTGTGGGAACGAGACACCAGAGTATTACCGATCAACAGGAAACAAAAGGTCTTCCCCAACGGCACGCTTATCATCGAGAACGTCGAGAGAATGAGCGATCAGGCTACGTACACTTGTGTGGCACGCAATGCTCAAGGCTATAGCGCAAGAGGAACCCTGGAAGTACAAGTAATGGGTAAGTTCGAAGCTTCTTTTTATCATCCCCTGACATCGCGCGAATTTCATCCGATCGAATAATTGAACGTTACACGAAATCGCGATTTTTATCCGAAAAGTTCGAACTCGCGGTAGACGAACAAAAGTTCCTTTGTCAAATCGGTGCACCGAAATTCCGCGTAAAGCATTCTTTACAGGTATCCACGAGGATTAGACGATTCGACGAACGTTAACGCGATAACGTTCGAATAATTGTCTTACAGCGAACTGACGACTCTTTCAGCGAATCCTGGCGCTCGTCGATCCGACGGCCAATTATGTCCATATCTCGGCCGAACCGAGTGTCGCGCGAAACCCGTGATTACCCGTGAACATCCGCGAAACGAACACCGACCGCGGACACGTGCACACGGACAACGACCCCGTCGCAGAATTCGCTTACACTTAATCACGTAGCGCGGAAAACCTCTTTAGAGAAAAGAGGCACGAGCGCTTTCGTTGGAACGTTGGAACGTTGGTATGGCGGTGGCTGACGATCGACCGTAAGAAAACTGGTGCATTTTTGTCAGAATTTGTTTTTCCGCGTCCACCACTCGTAGCGACCGCTGCTCCATCGGATACCGTGTCTCTGAACGTGTTAGGTTATCGAATGATCGATTTTGAAACCGAAGGATTTATAGATCGATACCGAATCAGACTTTCTACATTTCGAAATCGATCATTTAACTTCGCTAGTTCATGGGTTAGCTGCGTTATAAGCTTGTTCCAACAGAGACCGATTGTACATTCGAGTCTAGTTTCATGTTTTGGTGGCAGCTAACTTTATCGGAAGTGCAAAGGTGCATTAACAATAGAAATCAGACACGGTTTAGATATGATCAGAGGTCTATAACGGTATCGATCGCAAGATCGCAACTCGCGATATAGAACGCAGCCAACCCATTAACGATTATGGCAACACACGGCGTACGACACGTAACCGGTCGCGTAAATAAGCCCGCGACCTCTCATCGCACGTCCATACATCGATCCTCCACCCTCAGTGCCGCCCACGATACAGCAGTTCTCGTTCACGAAGCTACCCATGAACGCCGGAGAGTTCGCAAACCTGCAGTGTATCGTTCCGACCGGTGATCTGCCTTTGAACATACGTTGGAGCTATCCCGGAGAAGAGATGGGCGGTTCCTCCGGCGTACTTGCGAAGAAGGTCGCGGATCGCGTTAGCATGCTCATGATCTCAGTCATCACCGCGAGACACGCGGGGGAGTACGTTTGCACCGCTGAAAACGCGGCTGGAACCGCGTCCCACTCGACCACGCTCACCGTCAATGGTTCGGGACTATCATCCGTTCCTAGACAATTTTACTCGCTCTGGTTTTTTACCTTTTTCTCTTTCGTTTTCGTTTCGTTTCGTTTCTGCACCATCCCGGCAAATAGCACCGTAGCGAAAAGTAACCCCTTGTTGGTAATCCCGACGCCCGACGTCCTTGCATCGAGAATCCAACGGTCCGTCAACGTTCGAGTCTTACACCTTGACCACAAGTATTTTCTCCCGAGACGTTATCGAAGGATCGATAGAACGCAGCGAGAGAGACAGCGATTCGTAACCGCGTGCGATGACTTCAGTTGGCCCGCAGCTTCTGCCGATCACTTTCAATGCCGAGGTCGCCAACTCGGGCGATTCCGTGTCCGTACCTTGCTCGATCTTGAAGGGCGACATGCCTATGGATATATCGTGGGCGTTCAACGGTGTACCGATCGACGCGTCCAGAGACTCTAGTATCACTATCACGAAAATCAGCAGGCTGCTGAGCACCCTTAGCATCGACGGCGTCTCGGCGCGTCACGCTGGAGAGTACACCTGCTCCGCATCGAATCTTGCCGGTTCCGTCAGTCGATCAGCAACCTTAACGGTGAACGGTACGATCTCCTCTCCTCTTCTCCAGCCCGTTTTTCTTCCCCGCTCGCTCGATCTATGCTTTCATCGTGACTGTCCCTCGCAACTATCCCTGTTCAATGTCCGTACCGAGAATAGATTCCTCCCGAGAAACGTGTCTGTTCCTCTGTTACGGGTCATCGCCATACCAACCTCATAGAACAAACGATAGAAAGCGCTGTACTCGTGAATCGACACTCGTTCCTCCTCGCTTCGACTTTTCGAGTCGGACATGACCAAGCGTATCCTCGCCGGTGTGGCTGTTACGCTAGCCAAACGGGTGAACGCTTTGTCGTGTCTGCTTCGAGTGGTTGTTTCCAGTCGCCCCGCAAATACTGCCCTTCATGTTCGGCGACGAACCGGCCAGCTGGGGTGAACTGATTTCCGTCACCTGCTCCGTAACCAAGGGAGATCAGCCTCTCGAGATATCGTGGGCGTTTAACGGGACTCCGATCGACAGTCAGCACGGATCCGATGTCGTGATAGCGAGCACTAACAAGAAAAACAGCGTGCTAACGATCGAGTCTGTCGCGGCGAGGCACGCTAGCACCGTAGCGAAAAGTAACCCCTTGTTGGTAATCCCGACGCCCGACGTCCTTGCATCGAGAATCCAACGGTCCGTCAACGTTCGAGTCTTACACCTTGACCACAAGTATTTTCTCCCGAGACGTTATCGAAGGATCGATAGAACGCAGCGAGAGAGACAGCGATTCGTAACCGCGTGCGATGACTTCAGTTGGCCCGCAGCTTCTGCCGATCACTTTCAATGCCGAGGTCGCCAACTCGGGCGATTCCGTGTCCGTACCTTGCTCGATCTTGAAGGGCGACATGCCTATGGATATATCGTGGGCGTTCAACGGTGTACCGATCGACGCGTCCAGAGACTCTAGTATCACTATCACGAAAATCAGCAGGCTGCTGAGCACCCTTAGCATCGACGGCGTCTCGGCGCGTCACGCTGGAGAGTACACCTGCTCCGCATCGAATCTTGCCGGTTCCGTCAGTCGATCAGCAACCTTAACGGTGAACGGTACGATCTCCTCTCCTCTTCTCCAGCCCGTTTTTCTTCCCCGCTCGCTCGATCTATGCTTTCATCGTGACTGTCCCTCGCAACTATCCCTGTTCAATGTCCGTACCGAGAATAGATTCCTCCCGAGAAACGTGTCTGTTCCTCTGTTACGGGTCATCGCCATACCAACCTCATAGAACAAACGATAGAAAGCGCTGTACTCGTGAATCGACACTCGTTCCTCCTCGCTTCGACTTTTCGAGTCGGACATGACCAAGCGTATCCTCGCCGGTGTGGCTGTTACGCTAGCCAAACGGGTGAACGCTTTGTCGTGTCTGCTTCGAGTGGTTGTTTCCAGTCGCCCCGCAAATACTGCCCTTCATGTTCGGCGACGAACCGGCCAGCTGGGGTGAACTGATTTCCGTCACCTGCTCCGTAACCAAGGGAGATCAGCCTCTCGAGATATCGTGGGCGTTTAACGGGACTCCGATCGACAGTCAGCACGGATCCGATGTCGTGATAGCGAGCACTAACAAGAAAAACAGCGTGCTAACGATCGAGTCTGTCGCGGCGAGGCACGCCGGAGAGTATACTTGTTCCGCGTCGAATCGCGCTGGCGCCACCACGCATTCTGCCCAGCTGACCGTAAACGGTACACGCGTACGATCTTCGCACGTGACTAACATCTTTGCGTTCCTCTTCCTCTTTCCTCTACGCATCGAATTCCTAGATGTTCCCGACGATAGTCCAGATGAAACTTCGTACGATCGACGCTCGGATCTGTGATTACGCGGCTGCGACCGGAAGCCCTCGTTAGTTCTCGCGCGGAGGCGGCACGCGTACCATACACCTTCCTCGTTCACCGTTATTTTCGTTGTTTCTTACCTTTCGACCACGCTGCCGTGTCGCTCGCGCAGTCGCGCCACAGATCCTCCAGTTCTCGTTCGGCGACGATCCCCTGAACTCCGGCGAGATGCTGTCGGTCTCTTGCACGATCGTCAAAGGAGACTTCCCGGTGAACTTGACGTGGACGTTCGACGACACACCGATAGACTCGAGCAGACCGGACATTAATATTATTAATAATAAGAGGGTCAGCTTCTTGAGCATCGACAGCGTGGCGGCGAGGCACGCCGGAAGATACAAGTGCATCGCGTCAAATGCTGCTGGATCAGACAGCCACACCGCCGTGCTCTCGGTCAACGGTATCCCCCTCGACTATACGAATCTTTTTCTTTATTTTGCGACTGCAAGTAACCGTTCAAGAACACGCCGACGACGGAAACGCGGGAAAAGAGTGTCGCGTGCACATCGGTCGGCGCGTTCTTCGTTCGCTTTCGACGCTCTGTCAGTATTTTCTCTCGTAACTTCTTGTTCTCCGCAGTAATCTACATAGCGTATAATTTTGAAACGAAGGCCACTGCCGTCGTCGTGCCGATGATCGAGCGCGTAAACGTATCATCGATGCTCGCGTGTAGTAGCGAACAGGTAAGATTATCGTCAGAGACGACGGCAGGTAAGGACACGGTCCATCGCGCGGATACAGCGAGACGATGGTCCATGTTTCTCTCACTTTTCTCAGTATCACTTTCTTTTCCTTTTTTTTACAGTACTCTGTGCCCGGTCCTTCCGATCCCTGGTAGTCAATGATCCCTCGTAGTTATCCACATTATCCGACAGCTCCAGCGCGTCGTTCGCGATTCGATCTCGTAAACGAAAAAAAAAAAAAACG